GGTCTCCTGCGCGGGTGCGGGCCCTCCGCGGAGCGGGGCGCGGGGATGTGGGTGTCCCGCTGCCCGCCCGCCCTGACGGCCGTGCTCTCGCCCCGCCCGCAGATCGCAGCCCCCCGGAGGAGGAGGACGGAGCGGGCAAGTGCGGGAATCTGCTGCCGGGGGAGGAGGAGGCGGCGGCGCCGAAGCCGCGGAAGAAGCGCTCCCGCGCGGCCTTTTCCCACGCGCAGGTCTTCGAGCTGGAGCGGCGCTTCAACCACCAGCGGTACCTGTCGGGGCCCGAGCGGGCCGACCTGGCCGCCTCGCTGAAGCTCACCGAGACGCAGGTGAAGATCTGGTTCCAGAACCGGCGCTACAAGACCAAGCGGCGGCAGATGGCCGCCGACCTCCTGGCCGCCGCCCCCGCCGCCAAGAAGGTGGCCGTCAAGGTGCTGGTGCGCGACGACCAGAGACAGTACCACCCCGGCGAGGTGCTGCGGCCGCCCTCGCTGCTCTCCCTCCAGCCCTCCTACTACTACCCCTACTACTGCCTGCCCGGGTGGGCTCTGTCCACCTGCGCCGCAGCTGCCGGCACCCAGTGAGGGGCACACGTACATGACCCGCGCCCCCCCTGCCTCCAGCCTCCCCCACCGCACACACTGGCAGCCAGGAAACCCATCTCCCCTCTGCCACCCCCACCAGCCAGCCAGCCAGCTTCTCAAATCCAGAGCCCCAGCTGCAGTTCTCAGTGCCTTGGACAGTATTTATTATTATTTTATTGTTATTTTTATTATTAATATTATTTGGATGGTTCCTCACCCTCTCCTCTTCCAACGTAGGACTTCTCGGCCACCCCCGCCCCGACCCTCACCCCGTCCCCACCCCGCCAGCCGAGGACTCTCGCGATTCGGCACGACTAGTTCATGGTATCCATGTTGTCAGTGTATTTGGTGTAGACTTTTTGTTTGTTTTATTTCGCTTCGGATTCGTAGAGACTCGATCTTGTGTGGGAGAGAGAAAGAGAGAGAAAAAAAGGAGAGGAAAAAAAAAAAAACAACCCGCAAAACCAAATGCAGCTCAAAAGAGGAGATCAAGGACTCCCTCGGTGGATTGTAAGGAAGATTATTTTTGACGTCTGTTTGAGTCCTTGGTCTTCCAACTCGTTGCAAACTGAATGTGCCTTGTATGGTGCTGAATGTAAGGAAGCCTCTTTCAGATCCCCCCTGCTTTTGTTGCCCATGTTATTGCTGTACTCCATGATCCCTGGCAAAGGATAAATATGTCACAAAAGGGTGAGACTTTATATCGAAACCCCAGACTTCTTCTTTTCCTTTTTTCCTGAGATCTTTCCGTGTTCGGGGAGGGAGGAGTTACGGATTTTTCGCACTTTCCAGTTGTATTAAAGTTGTTGTTATTATTATTTTTATATTCAATGTGAATATTTCTAGTCAGGCTTTTTAAGAAATCGATGTAACGGGAAATTTTAATACCATCGGTGCCTTTTACAGTTCTTCTGCAGACCTCTCCTTCAGGGGCGGGGATTTCTGATCTGCTCAGCAATGTAATTACAGTCTCTTTCTTTCAAGGTAACTCATTGCTTTTTTTTTTCCTTCTTCTTATTTTTTTTCCTCCCTTTCTCTTGTAATGGCACTGTGCACTCAACTAGATTATTTACTTCAAATGAATTGTGAATGTTTGTAAGCTACCCGCTGTTCTTTTTTTTTTTTTTTTTTAATTTATAAACTTTAGTTTAACACTTAGCTCTGCCGCTTGTGTCGTTTCTGAGAGCGGATACGGATTTCCCCAGCGACTTTTTCCCCGCAGCAGACTTCGGGCTGTAGTTCGGACCACGTCCCTCCTTTTCCCACTCGCACGGAGGCTGACAGTGGCTCTGGTGGGAACAGGCAGCTCTGGCGGTGGGGATGGTGGGGCCTGGCGGAGATCTCACCCCCCGGTCCCCGGGGCCGCTGTGCCCGTGGGGACCGTGCAGCACCGGTGCCGGTTCCCTCCGTGGGAAGCGGAGGGGGCGAAGGGGCTGGGGCCGGGCGCCTTAAGGAGTTATTTGATAATGCCTGTCCAGGACGGAGCGATCCCTGCTTCTGCCGGAGAGCCGGGGTCGCTGGTTTAATTTACGGCTGCCGGGGTTACGGTGAGGATGCGGTGCGGGCGGAGGAGCCGCGGGGAACATCAAGTCGGTTCTCCCGGGCGAGGGCGGTCTCGCTGGGACGTTTCCACGGGCCGTGTCGGCTCACACCCTCGGCAGCTCCCGGGGAAAGTGCATGGCTCGGAAGAGTGTTTTCTCTCCGCCGGAGTCTGGCGGGGAGGCCGGGGCCGGGGGCCGCAGGCACCGGCTGGGGCTGGGGCTGCGGGATGGGGCTTCGCAGTCCTGTTCGTATCCCGACACAGCCGCGACAGCCGCTTGGGGCAGCCTCCCGCCTTGGACTGAATCCCCTCCAAGCCTCCGGCGGCGAGCCCGGGCCCTCGGCACGGTGGCTGGCAGCGCATCCCCGCCGCCGGCCGCCGGCCCTCCCCGCC